TAGCCACTAAGAAGGGCAGATAAAACATTTGTTCTCAGCTGTAAAGGTATCTCATGGAGGGGTTGCAGCCAGAGCACTGCAGCAAGCAGTCCAGTGCTGCGTCAGTATTGAACCCTCTAGGGTTTCAATCTGCCTGCTATTATTTTCACTTTTATGGGATTCCTTTCATGTCCAATGGCTTACAAAATCTGTGAGGTTTGAAGGACATCAGCATCAAGAGGTTCTAAGCTGGGTGAATCCCCTCTCTGTAACTGTGCAGGCACCTTTTAGGTGCTGGGTGAAGGATGTCCTGCTCAAAGCAGGGCATCATAAAGGGCAATCTTGAGTGACCCTCACACTCAAGAAGCAAGAAAACTGGTGTTCAGCAAGGTGGAAAGCACCTGGTGGAGGAAGAGGATAGAAGTTAGAGGTGCAAAAGAGGGGAGACAGAGCAGGAGAGAGTAGAAAAAAGAGAGCCATGGCCAGGCCTCGGGTCTGAGGGGTGCAGGTGACACTGGACAGTGACATTGATCATTATGCTGATGATGGGCTTGGGGAGGCAGCTCCAACAGAGCTCTGACAGGCAGACAGGAATCTGCCAGCTGCTACCTGGCCCTGCCTGAGGAAATACAAAATGAACCACAACAGTTCCTCAAGGCTTCAGAGCTAGAACCCTCCTAAAAAATTCCAAGCTTTTTTGAGTGTTTTCATGAAAATACAGCAATGTTGGCTTGTTTGTCTCTGAGGAATTGAAGTCTGAGAGTTTTCTGAGCAACACAGTCAAGTACAAGCCTAACCAGGAGAAAACACGGGCTCAAATTCCTCCTTCATTTGGTTTGAGCTAACGTGGGATGTAGAGGTTCAGAGTAGCCATTAGGTTTTCACCCCAGGACTGGCTCTAGAGGTCACCCCATGAAGCCATGGTCCAGATAATGCCACATAGCCACTCACCTTTGCTTTGGCAGAGTTGGAGACTCTGTGTCTGCTCTCATGGAGTGAGGACCTGCTGTGGAACCTCCACATGGCTGCAGGGTACATTCCAAAACTGGCAGGAACCTCTCCAGCTGCAGGAAAGATCCTTCATGCCAGGTACCTAAGATAAATAACTGAGTATCCCCGAAGTCCCATGAGACATATCCAGAGGGAAGCAAATGCTCTACATTGAGAACGGGGTCCTTAGGTTAAATTATGTGTTTGGTACCTTTCTGTCCCTCGTGGGCTCTTTTCAGAGTCTCCAGCATGTCTGAGGTTCCACTAAGGCTTATTTTTGCATCACTTTTCCCACGTGAGTCAAAACTGCTTTGCAGCAACATCTTTAGTTTTTCAAAAGTTAATCTGAATTATGCCACAGGACTAGGCCAGTCCAGGGCGAGTGACCTGCCCACATGGATCTTCACAGCCTAAAGCAGAGGCAGCCAGGCTGGGCTAGCTCTGAAAACTGCCCCTTCAGTCTCCATGGTTGGAACTGAAGAAAGCTGGTGCATTGCAGATGGGTTGGGGGTTCCCATGGGCCACAGCTTGCATGCTCTGCACAGATTCCCCTCCACTCCAGAGGGCAGAGGACACAAACAAAAATACCAGGCAATAAATACAATTGTGTTACCATTTGTCCCAGAAAAGCAGGCAGGTTTGGGTAAAATCTTTCCTGAGATTGACTGAACCAACTGGAAAACCAGATAAAAACTCTGGCTCAAGGTCCTGCCCCCCTGCTGCACCCAAAGCCTGTTGCAGTCACCACAATAGTGCTTCTACCATGGAAACAGCTGATGGTTGGGGTCTTTTTCCACTACAGCCTCCCAGAATAGGTTAGAGCTGTAAAGGCTTTGTATAAAAGGGTAATTATTCCCAGGGACATTAATTCTTATGAAACATAAAGGGAGTTAGCAAGTAAGAAATGTGCTTTAACCAAAATAACCGTGTGTCTTCTGTGAGGTTTTGTTATGGGTAAAATGTATGGGCAGCATGTAGAGGGCACCAGGTGAGCTGAAGGGCTGGGGGGAGGATTCAACCTCCCATCCCCAGGGTGAAGGGGAATTTTTTTTGTGATGCTTGGAAGGGGAAAAATAATTCCTGTAGTTTTAGACAGTGATTTATTAATTCACATTTTCATGAGCTCAGTTATAATGTGTGTTTCTTAAGGAGAAGTGTCTTTATCAAATTCATATAGTGCAGTTTCACTTTTCAAAATAAAAAGTGTGCTGTGGCAATAGGCTGTTTCTTTGCACATCCCAGCCCAGGCATTGTGAAAAGTGTTTTTTTAAACTCATTTCTCAAGCTAACCCAGAAGTTGCTGATGGATTAAAGCCCAGTTCTTTAGTTTTTTTATCTCAGCCTAGATTGCAAAAGGCTTTTTCTCAGTATAACCCCCCCTGCACCTCATTCTCAGAGAGAGCAACACCTCCAAGATGAAATCAGATTAATAGGCTGGAAATTAGGTGGTTGATTTGTTTTTTGAAATTACCAATGTTTAAAAATCATTTAGACCCCTTATGTGTATTTTAAGGCTCCTTCTGGATTCGGAGGCACAGGGGGTCATGCAGGTCGGGAGACACAGAATGCAAGAGGGGAGTGGGTTTGTACAGGAGCTCAGAGCCCCACTCTTCAGCCCAAGGCAGAAATCTTTGTGTTTCTGTGAATATTCTGCAGGGGAAAAAAAAACAAAACAAAACAAAACAAAAAAATGGAAAAAAAAAACAATAAGGGAGAAATTTGGGCCTATAAAAGGGAAAAATACCCCACATCTTTTCTTTTTATATGAAAATTTCTTTATCAGTGTACCTAAAGTTCTAAGTGTGGCTAGTGAGCAGCTGAGCAGGTGGCAACTGAATAGACACAAATGCTGTAACACAGAGGTTTTATTGGTACATGCACATCTAGGTAAAGCAAAGCACAGCAAAGCAAAGCAAAGCACAGCGGTGATGTCCAGGCGCCGAAAACAAGATCTCGCCAGTCCGCTGGCCAGACGCCCTGGGAGTCTTGGGAACCTGGAGATAGTTTCTGCAAAGGTTCATGTGGATTCAGCTCCTTTAAGCCCAAAGTAGCTACAGGGTCTCTCATTCTGTTCATCTTTTACCATCTTTCCGAGTCTCTGAGGCTGGTAACACCTCTGCCATCTTCAGTGGGTCCCTTTCCATACTCGGGCGTTCCATTCCCTTCTCTTTCCTTCCAAAGACACTGTCCTTGGCTTTCCTGAGCCCCCTCGTCCTCTGCATAAGGAGTCTTAAATCACACAAGAGCAGCTTCTTCACATTAGCACTTGGGGATGAGCAGTTTAAAGGCAAGTTACTTATACTAACTCTATCTTTTTTACTGTGAGGGTGATCAAACACTGAAACAGGATTGCCTAGAGAGGTTGTGGAGTCTCCACCTGTGGAGACAGTCAAAACCCAACTGGACACAGTCCTGGGCAGTTTGCTCTAGGTGACTCTGCTCAACCAGGGGAATAGGACTGGATCATCTCCAGAGGTCCCTTCCAACCTCAACCATTCTGTGATTCATGCCAGCCGCAGGCTGCTTGGCCTCTCCTTCCCTCCTGGATGGCCCTCTTATAGCAGAGGAAGCCATCCCTCATGTCAAGGTCTGGTATGGCATGTGTCTCCACTGCTCAACGCCTACTGGGTTGCAGCCAACAGCGGAGCTAAAAGTTCTTCTTGGTGGCAAACACAGAGGCCAACCCAGTCTTGCCCTTGACTATGGTAGGATGCGCTTGGCCATCCCCAGTCCTTTCACCTGGTTTTCAATGCAGAGTTTCATATGCCTAATCCGGTAACAAGTGGCTACCATGGCAATGCACAGGCAGATTTGTGTCAGCAGTAGAACTACGATGGGGTGGAGCAGTGTGTTGAAGATGCCGGTGGCTGTGGGGGACCAGCCGAAGAAAATTTCCCACCAGCGATGTTCTCCCACCCTCTTGATTCGTTCCATCACCTGTTTTATGACGTTACCATCATGATGTACAGTTATTAGGATCTTTCTAGCTTCTGCTTTAGCATTTTCTAACAGCTGCTGTAAATTTGCATGCTCTAACATTTCTTTTATAAGCGACAAATCCATACCTACGGGGGTCGGAGTTATGCTACGATATAAGGTGTAGTTTCTGATTAGTAACTGGCTAGTAAACACAGGCGGTCTATAGACAAAATCACAGCCTCTAATAATAGCTACATTGCAAGCACACATATTTGAATCATTAAACACGGTCTGATTATAAGCCTCATTAATCTGCACAGAGTTACACATCGTTCTAAAACACACACACCCTATCCCTACGTACACCAACACGGTTTTACTGCTGCTCAGGGGATTGATCTCAAAATGGCACACCCCCTCTTTGGTGTCAAAGCAGACATCACTTGCCTTAAGGGCATCATCTTCGCATATGAATCCCAGACCCCTTTCCAAAATGCAGGCTTCCAAATCTACGGATTGCCATTTCCCATCAGACACCCTCGCCCACATGCGGTGGTCCAGGGGGTAGACCACGGACCCATTTGTGTTAACCCCCAGGGCCACGATGGGGTAGACCTTTTCCATGCGAGCCTCAGCCACGGTCAGGACGTGGGCAACGACTGTGTTGAGGACCTGGTCATGGGTGAAGTTGACAAGTCTCCACCAGGCTTGGAGCTGCCGCTCCTTCTCTGTGGCCGCGTCCCACACGACCTTTCGGATCTCGGTGGGGAGGACGCCATTGTCACCGTCTCTCAGGATACCTGCAACGACACTCTGCACCCACATCTGGGCCTGGATGCAGCTAAGAGCAAGGGAGACATTATTTTGTTCAATGCCCAGAGCTCGCAATAGCATCTGGTGGTCTTTCTCACTTTTTTTTTCCCAGGTAGGCAACACCTCTGACACAAGCCACTGCCCCATCCCAAGGCTGGCCAGGGATGAATTCAGGGGGTTGAGGAGGCCCTGCACGCCCGATGTGACAGCCTCCAGCTTGTTGGCCAAGACCTCAACGTTCATACTGTTGAGGACTCCCAGCCCAGCACCTCCTCCTCCCAGCGTGGTGGCCAGCAGATCTCTTCTGGCCCGGGTCCCCTGGATGGAGCGGCTGTGGAGCCACGCCAGCCAGCCGGTGTGGAGGGTGGATAGGAAGGGGGTACAGTGTGGTCTGACAGATGAAATGTTAACAGTGGACAGAGACAACACCACCTTCTTCAGCGATCGGACAGGCCCTGTCAACAGCTCTTGGACATGATTTTTCTTGACTACATAAGGGCCTATTTTGGAAACAAAAGGGCGCAAGACAGCAATGATGGTAAACTCTTTTTTAAAACCTTCAGGGCCTTCTATCCACCACTTTCCTCCGAGCTCAGGGGACATTTCTACGCTGAGGTTTCCTTGACACCATACCTGGAGATTTATGACCTGGTGTGGACAGTGTCCATAATCCTGATTATACCACAAAGCCTCTGAGCCTAAATCTGATCTATTAAGAGTTTTGCTCTCACGGAGGCAATTTACTGGCACTGCCCACTTGTGGTCCTGAGGGCCAGCGATAGTCACAGTGGTGCCATCAATTTGTGTCGGATTGGTTACACTTTCTTGGGAGTATTTAATTTCCAGTTTTACCTGGTTGCCAACTTCAGCATATGGGGCTGCATGCCAGGCCAAAAAATGACACTTTGAGATCTTAATGGCAGCAAAGGAGTGTGTCATGGTGCTAATCATGAATTTAAAAGACAGCCCCACGCTGTTATGGGCCCAGAGGCAGACCACAAACACTGGCTGGACTAACGTAAAATTGTACCAACAGTCCAATTTTTCTACAGCACAGGGTTTTTTCTGATTCTGCTTAGATTTTACTTCGGTTACGGAGATTTGAGTTACTCGCTGAGGAGTGGATCCATTAATTACCCTGCACCCTACCTTTATTTCTTGTCCCACTTTCCCCAGCAGCTGGGGAAGTCTGTTTGTGCTATCCCAGCTCCACTCATTTTCCAAATACACCTCCGTCCCGTGCATAACCACCGTTGACAAATTTAAGCCTTTGTTGGAATTTAAACCCATGCTTCCCGTATATTTTACGTAAGCGTGAGACCAGGGCCAATCTGTCCCAGTTTTTGTGTACCTCCTAACCCTGTGCTGGGCTGTGGTCCATGTCCTGGGGTGCCTTTCTAAGTGAGAATGACTGATTTTCTGTCTGAGGTGCTGATGGGTCAATTGGGCATGTTGAGTGCTCAGCACTATACACATACCAGAAAGCAAAGCAAATCCTGCAACCAGAAATTTGAAAGCATTTTCCCCGCAGCACAAACAAGGCTGGTGATGCCACGAAGTTCGCCCTTCCCGCCGGTCACAATCGCCTTCCATTTTCCTTTATCTGCAAAACACAAGCAAAATGGGCTCTCCAGCCCCGTTAATTTCCCTTCCATGCTTTTAATTGTGAAGAATGGAACCATTTTTCCTGCCTTTTCGCCCCCTTTCTGATTTCTACCTGGTACATGAAGGGGCTGGCCTTGTTCACAACCCTAACAGGCCCCATCCATTGGGGTTCCAGCACCTGGTTCTTCTCTCTAACCGAGCGATGCATTACCAGGTCCCCCGTGCTCCACTCCGTGGGGTGCAGCAGCACTCCCAGCTGTTTATCCATCTTAGCGGTGTTGGCACCCTGCACTGAGGTGAGCTGGTGGTACGTAGCCAGCACCGTTCTCAGGATCTCCTGGACCCACCTGTCTGTCAGCACACGGGGCTGGAGTTCATCCGGCGGCTCCCCTCTTTGCCACCAGCGTCCCGACTGCTTCAGGACTCTTGCAGGAGGCAGATTTTGGGGAGAAGGCTCTTGAAATGCCATGGCCCCCCGTAACGCCAGCAGGACCAGTGGGAGATTCTGATCCCACTTTTTGCGTTGCTGCTTCACGAACTTTCTCAGCGCTGCCTTCAGTAGCTGGTTGGGGCCCTCTGCTGAGTCGGGGTTCTGGAAATTGCCCGTGATGTGAAGCTTTTGCTTGATACCCAGCGCTTGGCACACGCTTTTCGTGACTGCTGCAATGTAGCGTTGGCCATAGTATGAATCGATCTCCTTTGGAACACCCCACCGTGAGAAGACATGCTCTACCAGGATCTTTGCTGTTGCACTGGCCGTGTTGTTAGGAGCTGGAAATGCTTCCACCCACCTGGTGAAGTTATCACTGACCACCAGGCAATACCTGTTCCCTTGGGCTGTCTGGGGCAAAGGACCAATAAACTCCATCTGCAACCTGCTCCACGGCCCAGAAACCCTCTGGTGGCCCAGGATGGGTTTTGCCGTTTTGGCATCAGGATTGTTGGCCGCGCACGTCAGGCAGTTGCTGACGTACCTCTCCACATCCTCTCTCATTTCAGGCCACCACCCAGCGCCCTGCAGCCTCACCATGGTCTTGTCTGTCCCTAAATGCCCCTGCTCGTGAGCCAGGGCCACCAGCTCCATCCGGACAAGTTCAGGCACCACCCAGACCGGGAAGTCCGCCCCCTCCCTCCGTGCCAGGACCAGCCCGGACACATCCTTCCACACCTTGCACCCTTTATACTCCTGGCCCTTCACTAACTGCCAGATGCTGGGGTCTTGTGCCTGCAAGCTCAGCAGGTCCACGCTCTCCCACTGCCTGCTGGGAGCCACCAACACGGGACCGTTTTCCAAGGTCTTGCTGGCCTTCCATATCAGCCCTTCCTTCGCACCTTCCTTGGCTTTGGCATCAGCCTCCTTGTTCCACTTGGCTTCCTCCGTTCCCTTCTTGTGTGCCTTGACCTTAATGATCTGGGGCGGGCACGCCCTCTGCTCCGCCAGCCGCACAAGGTACAGCAGCTTTTTGGCATAGGTGACGGGCTTGCCATCGGCAGACTGCATGTCCCTCTCCCTCCAGAGTGCCAGCCACTCCAGCATCGCCCGCACCACCCAGCCCGAGTCCGAAAATATGGCCAGCGGCTGGTTTGCCGGCGTGTTTTCCAGGGCAGCCGTCACGGCCATCAGCTCGGCAGCCTGGATGGAGTGCGGCAGGCACTTCCCCTTCACCACCTGCATGGTGCCCGGGTTGATGGCAGCATAGCCCGTGTAGGGCACCCCTTCCTCGTGGTAGTTGGACCCATCTACAAACCACACGACATAGCCTCTCTCCTTGGCCTCCTCCAGGCTGAGGCTACTCTCAAACAGGGGCGCCCGCTGCTGCTTGGGCTCAGCTGGGCCACACTGCAGCTCCTCCTCGTCCCTCTCTCTACTGATGACCACCCCATAGGTACCAGGCAAGAGCTTCCCCTTGTCCCCTGAGACTTCCGTGTTGTCCAAAGCAAACACCCAGTTGGCCATTCTGGGGCAGCACAGGGGACCATCATCCCCCATTCCCGACAAGAGGTACCTGACTGGGGTGTGGGAGGTCCTCAGCAGCACCGGGGCCGAGCCTACCAGGTACTCCCAGTGCTGCAGGGCCCAGATCAAGGCTAACGCCTCCTTCTCGTAGTCAGTGAACTGCTGCTCGGTCGGCGTCAGGAGCCGTGAGGCGTGAGCAACGGGGAGGAGGTGGCCACTGTGCTGCTGGCTCAGGGTGGCCTGCAGCCCCCTGCCCGTGCTAGCCAGCTGCAGAACATAAGGCCTGTCCCCTCGGGGATGTGCCAGCACAGGGGCTCGTGCCACGCTCTCCTTTAAGACCTTCACTGCCTCATCCTGCTCTGGCCCCCATTCCCAAGGAATGCCCTTCCTGAGGAGGTGGCAGAGGGGGGCAGTTTTTTCTGCATAGCCTTCAATAAATTCCTGGGAGAACCTCAGGAGAGACAGGAAGGACCTCAGGGTGGTGGCGTCGGCTGGCGCCACCACCTTCTGTATTAGCTTGACCCTCTGCTTCTCCAGTGAGCACCCTTCTTCCCCCAGGGTCACCCCCAGATAGGACACCTCCTTCCAGCACAGCTGGGCCTTCGTGGGGCTGATCCTGAAGCCTGTCTTCTGGACAGCCTCCAGCACCTCACCTAGCACCTCCAGGTTCTCCTCCTTTGTCTGTGTGTGGATGAGGATGTCACCGACGCAGGACAGCACGTTCTTCCTGTGGCTGAGCTTCTCCCACATCCTCGCCACGTGCACGTGGCAGATGGCAGGGGTGTTGTGAAAGCCCGGGGGGAGTCTGGCAAAGGCAAATTGCCGTCCTCCAAGGGTGAAGGCAAACTTGTGCCAGGACTCGGGGTGCAAGGGGATGGCAAAGGATGGGCTGGTCAGGGTGAGCACTGAGAACCACTTGGATCCTCGGGAAATGGCTGCCATGATGTTGGGGTACTTGGCCATGGCAGAGGTCCGCAGTGGTGTGACAGAGTTCAGGGCACCAAAATTGACTGTCAGCCTCCATGTTTTCCCGTCGGCTTTCCTCAGGGGCCAGACCGGGGCATTGTTGGTGCTCTGCTGCTCCACTAGCACTCCCTGCTCCAGCAAGATTTTGACTGTGTCCCACAAGCCCACCTCGGCCTCAGCTGGGTACTGGGGCTGTGGCTGAGGAGGAGGATCTGGCCCTGTGACTGCCACGAGAGCATCAATCTTCCCACACTCCAGCTTGCTCTTTGCCCAGACCTGGGAGAACTGCTCTGTGACCCTTTTCACTCGGGGCTCCCACTCAGGGTGGACCAGGATATCAGGGGCTTTCACAGACATCAGTCTGTGGCTCGCCGGGATGATGGGTACATCAGTTTGAGGGCAGTGTAACAGTGCTTGGTTTACCAGATCCACCACCACCCCCATCTTTGTCAGCGCAGAGATGGCTAAAACTCCTGGCTTCCCTTTCATTTCCATTTTCCCAAATTTTTCAGACCCTTTAGCAGTCCCAATTTCAAAGAGTACAGGCCCCGTGAAAGGCACTGAGGATTTTTGGCCATTTGGCCCTGTCAATTCAATAATTTCACAAGTTTGGAAAAGCCCAGATTGAGTAGGGGCTATATTCAAAATAGAATAAGAGGCACCAGTATCAATTAACATCACTTGTCCAAGCACCCCCCCTCCAATAGTTACATCAACTATCGGGCGCCCCCATGAATCGGTCTTAATCGGTGCCACAAACAGGGGCGATGCGGGTGCCTGGCAGCCCTATTGCTGAGCCTTAGACCCCGGGTCAATCGGGTTGGAGCTGGTGTGCATTTTGGCCTCGTGCAGGGCCAGTTTACGGAAGAGCTCCGAGTCCGGCAAGCCATCAATATCCTCCTGCTTCTCGTATTTTATCAGACGTTTCCTCAGCTCAGACCGCCAAGCATTGGACTTCTGAAACCTCAGCCCTTGCTGATTCTCCTTCCCCAAACCGCCCCTGCCATCAGGATCTTTTCGGCTGTCTCCCTGCATTTTTCTCATCCCTCCATTTTGGAAGCACATGGATGAGTTT